TGAAAAAAGGGAATAAATACAAAATATGCTTTACATGATGGCGATAGCAACGATTTCTCGCCTAATCTCAACTGAATGACTGGGTGACTAAATGAATGATTGAATGAAATAATGAAATGGGTAATGAATGAATGGATGAATAAACATCTTAAGATACTAAGCTGACAAACTTATACTGAAAAGAATAAAAGGATAAGGTCTTTGCTCTCAGTCAAACGCACGTTATTGTGATTTATGTTACTAGGGATATGACACAGCTGTATCATATACAATTCATCAATGAGATTAGATAATGGTTTTTTTTAGTAGTAATGATTAGCGCCACAGGGGACAGAGACTTATCACTAGTCTAGCCAAATTTAAAAAAAACAAATTATTTTTTAACCTGAAGATAAACTTAAGATAGAATATTTCATTTTTAAAACATGACGGCGTGTCACTGCAATCAAGGTAGAACTGTGTCTTAGATTATAGTATACTGACGTCAAAATGACGTATTAGCGTTAAGGCAATACTGTTCAAATCGAACATTGTGTTCATTTAGGGCATAGTAAAATTTCCCCAAAACATAATCTTCAGTGACAGACGACTATAGACCAAAACTATACCGACGAGTTGATTAACCTGTTTTTATGTGCGAGTTGCAAGTGCGAGTGCTGATATATAGTTACATTTTCGCCATACAAGCCTTATTCATGCCTACATGGCAGGACTATGCGGCTGTCTCTCTATCAAATGACAATTTAATGCGTTATCCTGGCGTCGATCAGGGCCGGTCAAAACACAAGCACCTGTGTACGTTAACCAAGGTACCCCCTCCCGCCAAGTCGCATCATTAATGATTAAATCTCGGCCAGTAAAATTGACCTTTTCATTAAGTCTGTGGAAACACTCACCCAGGGTGTGGGTCGACTCTTTTCGGTGTTCTGGCCAAGGTAGGAGTTGAACTCGGGACTACCGATCACGAGTCCGGATGCAACAACCACTATGATACGAGTGACCGGCTCCGAGTTACCCATTTACGCCACAGACTTGCGTCGTCACTGGAAAGCGCAATTTAAAAGAAACACATATCACATAACACCGAATAAACGGCAAGGTAAAGACTATGTCTAATTATAGTAAATACGTACTGCGTGCGTGACTCGAACCGGCGCTCGCGTACGGCACCTAATCGCCTAGCTTCACGCCACTACACGTCTTCCCCTCGGCCACCGGGCATCCCCAAAAAAGTGTAG